CCTGTGTATTACCTATTTTAGTTAACATCACATTCTATTGTAACGGTTCATGTGACTTCCTTTCAATTACATTGTAATGTTTTGTTTTATTGGTTACTGCAGCCTTATTATCAAGCACAGCCTAGGTTGGTCTAATATATGTAATTTATAAAATTAAATTACATGTAGTAGGCCAACCTAGGCTGTCAATATATGTAATTGACTTGACTAGTAGTATATTGAATTAACTAGTAATAAAATGATTGAGTGATTGATTGAATAAACTTATTGGCAAACATTGATAAACCAATTTAGACTGCAGTTTTAGGTTTAACACACAGCTCAACATTGCTATAATGTTGGGTTTAATCAAAATAATGCTTTGCAACAGGAAAGAAAAAGCATTGAAAATTTTTTTTACATGAACCTGCATGAAATTATATACTAGATATTTTTTGAACAGCTTAGCTCTCTCTATTTTTATATGGCAGTAGGAGAAGAAAATTCTTTAAATAAAACAAAAAAAGTGTTAGGTATTTACTTCACTGCTACTATACTTTCTTCTGTAATATCTGTCTTTTTTTTTTTTAACTTTGATCAAAAAGGTTACCTGATATTCTGAATAATCTGTTAGACAAATAAGTGTTACAATAATTTATAGAATAAGCATTGTGTTCCAGACACTGGGTTTGACATTACTTTATGAAGTTCTCTTCCACAAAATAACAATGAATTAGGTACCATTATACTCATTAAACAGATTGAGGAATGAAAGATTGAGGGTGTAGTGACTGTGGTTAAAGCCCAGAACTCTTTATTCCCTAACATGTGAGCTGAATCTATACTTTATTTTAAGTTTTAATTTATATTTGTGAGAAATAACGCTGAAATCCGTCCTCACATCTCACTTATGCACAGAGTGGGACAAAAGCAAGTTTGCAGTTGTGAGTATGTGAAACACAGAGTTTATTTTTATATTATTAATTATTGTATTATTTTCCATAAGGGCAACTGTAAACCTACTTTACCCCACCCTGTAGGGAATTAAGTAAAAACAACATGGCTTTGACACATTTTTGTTCATAATAAAGTCTCTATAAATAAGAGTACAGGTTCTACTGTCATAATTATGTAGAAGTTATATAGCAATAGGAGTGAGAAATCCATAGATACTAACAGAAGTAACATAAAATATGACAGGAAACATTAACGGCATATATTGGAGTCTTGAGGTAAAGAAAGGTCAAGCTATAGAGTTTGGATTAGAGGATGAGGTGGCTTTATCAATCCGTGCGCCAGCAAGGGAGTAGCATAGATTTGGACAAAGGTATCAGCTCATAACAGTGCCAGTATTTCCCCAATAATTTAAAAATTGTTTTTCTGAAGAAGCAACAAGATTTAAAAATAGAAGTAACTTTTAAAGTGTGTTTTTCATGTTTGCAACCTTACAAGAAATTTTCTGAGCAAAAATTTATGTGTGTGTATCTATACATTCACAAATAAATATCTTAGCATATAGTAAATGTCATTATAGTTAGCCATGAGAAATATTTGAATATAGTGAAAAATTAGAACAATGAAACTAAGTTCTTGTCAATGAGATGAATTTAAATATAACACCCTAAAATATTTATTAGAAGATTAAGATAGTATGTGGTAGAAATGATTACAAAGTTAGAGAAGTCCAATATTTGGGCAAGTTACCATTTTAAGCTTCAGTTTCTTTATTTGGAAAATGGAGGTAATGTTACTGCCTACTTCAGTAGGTTACTGTGAGAATTAAATGAGAAGATTAGTGTAACATGTCTGGCTTGTAGGTAAAGAATTGATAAATGCCATCATTATTATTACTGTTGTTGATGGCAATGCTTTGATCAGGAAGATGAGGATTATGTTTTTTTTAATTGACCCAGATGTCAAAAGAATCATCAGGTGGCTTTCCGTGTCTGTGGAATCTTAACTCAGTTTTCTATGACACTGGCCACATTATACTAGACTGAGATGTTGGGCATAGTGTGCAGTTATTTTGGTTGCTGACAAGATCTGATAGGCATGCATTTCTACTCTAGGAAAGAGTGAACTTTGTTGTAAAATAAAAACTTTGTTCTACTGATCCCTTGCAAGTTGAGTCAGTAAGATTATCTGCAACAGTCACACATTATTATAAATCAAATAATCTCTCTCTAAACTAAAACCATGCCTACCATGTCATATGCTTTCCGGTATGTGCTTTAAAGTAGAGAAATTAGGAACTAGAAAAGATCATTTTTGGATCCAGTCGTGCTTAGCCTTCAACAAAACAAAACAAAACAAAACAAAACAAGGCTCTTAGTTTTGCAGAATAAGCAATTAGTTTTAAGTTTTCTTTTTTAAGGAAACCACTTGGCATTCTGCATTGGAATAGTTCAGAAGTTCAGCTAAGTTGATATAAACACTCCAAGTTCTCATTCTTTGGTGTACTTAGCTAAGCTTTTTTTTTTTAATGTTTTGAAAAGAATATTTTGTAAGAAATATTTTTAATATAATTATTCCTGGATTTTGAAAAACATTTTTGAAGAAGTTTGCTAGTAGTTACCTCTCTGTTGGTTCCATATCTGTACAAATTGAAACTAAATATCACATTGAAAAAACAAACACATTAAGCATTTTCAGTTTATCAAGCATCATCTGTAGAATGATGGAAAGAGTGCAACATTTGTCCGAATCCTAGTTTTACCACTTTGGGCAAGGTAATTAACATTTCTGGGCCTCATGCACTCTATGTGTAGAACTGTAAAACTAGTCCTTACTTGAAGGGTTACTGTAAGGATTAAAAGAGGTAATGTCCATAAAATGTTCATGATAGCACCTGGCACATAGCAGGCACTAAATAATAGTTCTCATCTCCCCTTTCTGGCATCATTACTGAAAATTTTACCAGGAGCTTGAGATTGTTTCTGTTTAATCCTAACTCTTCATAACTAAATAGTGTTTAGCAATCAATTCAAAAACATAGAGAAAAAAATCTTTTAAATATAACAAAATTCTATTAATTTAGAGTAATAAAGGCAAAGTTTCTGGCTATTAAATTTTGCAACTTAGAATATTTTATGCGAATTGGGAGCACAGCATTGTATAGAAGCCAGATTAACAAATATTATCTATACTTTTGCTTTAATGAATGGATAGCTTTGATTTATTATTCAACTGATTGTTATATGACAATATTCTTTGTCAACTCCTTTGGAAAAGAGCTGTTTTCTTAATAAGTTTAAAATCTCCTTGTCATTTTTTCCTTTGATATTTTGTTAGAGTTATTTTTTTAAAAAATTACTAACTTCTGGCTGACCCCAAATAATAAATTACTAGACTCTAAATTAATAGATTTTTAATTACTATGAGTTGTTTCATCATTTGAAGTTATATTTAGAAAATGAGAACCGTATTTTAACTATGATATTTCTTAGCCATGGACAAAATTTACACTCTCTTCTCTACCTTTGTCAAGATGTTATAATATTGGGTTAGCTAAAAAGTTCCTATGGTTTTTTCTGTAAAATGAAAGACATATTTTTTTTATTTTCACCAATAACTTTATTGATTTGGATATTTTGAGTATATGTTGTTTATCTTTTGCATGGTCTAGCCTTGATTGTTCTCAATTAATGTCTCGATTTGATCGCTGTCAACTTCCACTGGTCTGCCCTATTGTGGAGCATCATCCAGTGCAAAATCTCTAGCATGAACCTTCACAAACTACTTTTGACACATCTGATCAGTTACAGCACCTTTTCCATACACTGCACAAATCTTCTTTTTTGTGTGTCTGTGTGTTTCAGGTGCATTTTTACCTTTCTTGAAATAACAAAGCATAATATGCTGAAAATGTTGCTTATTTTCATCCATCTTCAATAATGGCTACATAAAAATTCATCAATTTTGATGTGTCTTTTTAAATGCACACTGTTATGACAGCTGTTACAATATAATCTAACAAAATTGTTTCAAATGAAGTTAAAGACAACTAAGAGCTACTAGAGCCATTTTATAGGAAAAAAAAATGAACTTTTTGGCCAACACAATATCTTGGGACCCTCTATAACCAATGCCTTACAAATAAATAGCATTCTTTTTTTTCTTGTTAGTTTATCTTTGTCTTTTATTATCACTTCCTCTATACTTTTTTTTTCTTTTTTTTTTTTATTTTTTTTTTATTTTTTTCTCTTTTTCTTTGAAACTGAAGCAATCTCATTTTGTTTATTACTCTCCTTATCCATAGGGGATGCATTCGAAGGCTCCTAGTGGATGCCTGCAACTGTGGATAATACTGAACCCTATATATTCATATACTGCATTTTTCATGTACACACATACCTTTCATTTAAAAGGAGCACCTAGTGACTTCACTTTGGCATATGCAAATTGCAGGCATCCTTATTGCACTCTGGGGCCATTATTAAATAAAATAAGGGTTACATGGGCACAAGCATTGAGGTAGCTTGCTAGTCATCTGGTAATGGAGCAGGCTGCTAAGTGACTAAGGGATGGAGAGTATACACAACATGAATAAGCTGGAAGAAGGGACGATTGAATGAGTCCTGGGCTGGACAGAGCAGGATGGTGAGAAATTCATTGTGCTACTCAAAACAGCTTGCAACTTTAAATTTATAAATTTTTTATTTCTGGAATTCTACATTTAATTTTGTTGGACCATAGTTGACCATGGGTAACTAAAACCACCATAAGCAAAACTTCGGATAAGGGGAGGACTACTGTAAAAAAATAACAACAGGAATGTCTTAGTGTTTCTACTTATGTTAATATTTCCTTTAGGAACAATTAGATTACTTAAGGAATTTGCCTCTGGCTATCCCAGTAAGGACTGAAACTAAGGAAGAAAAATGTGAGGCTAACTGATGAAAAGCTTTGACTTTTGGAGTAGACTTTCTGGTTGGTTTTGAATTATGTAAGGAAATAAAAATATCTCACAATACTCTAGTTTTTAATTTACTTTTAATTATCATGTCTTCATTTTCTTTCAGGACTCTTGATGTATCAGTGAGCTTCAATGGAGGAAAATCTGTCATCTCAAGCTCATTAGTAGTCACAGCCACAGAATGTGTAAGTAAAAAGTTTTCATAAAGTTATCATTTAAAAATAATTCTATGCGGAAATAATTTATGGATCCTCAGTGTTGTTGCATACTATAATAAAGAGGGTACAAACAATAAAACTGGAGATCATTACAGGGAAAAATTTGTGTAGAATTTATTTTAGGTTCTTTCCCCTGTGGCTCCCTTTAAAGGGATTTTATTTTGATATTTATAAAGTCCAAGTCATTTAAAATCAAAATATGGTACATGAAAGATTTTTAAGTGAATAATTATTTTTTAAAACATTAAACATAAACAGAATAATGCTTTTTTGTTATGAAGATTGAATTATAGTATCTAAGACATCCTGTTTTTGAAATTATTGGTTCATCTTACTGAGTGAGCTTATTATTTTATCCATTTTAATGTTGGTGCTTTCTCATATGAGTAAGGAATTTGATTTTTATAGCTGGATAACATCTTAGTTTGAAACTACACTGAAACTAAATTTTAGTTGAGATGATTCATTTACATTACCTAAGAGTCAATATTTTGAAATGTGAACTCCATTGATAAGACACTGTTTTCCTTATAGTTAAATTTTTGGTTTATGGAAAACTTTTGATATTAGATTCTTGAACGTGAAAACAGAACACTAAAATGGAATGAACCATTGGCTATGATTTTTATGAGTATATTTTCTTTGTAAAAAAATATATAAATTAGAGCACAGTCACACACACACACACACACACACACACACACACACTACTGCTCTTCAAAAGAAAAATCCTAACCTCAACTTTTCTCACATCTCATGGTTTCATAGCTTTATATGTTGATATTTACTTTGAGAGACATCCATCCTGCAGAAAACAAACAAAATAATTCAGTATCGTTTTTCTCATTGTGAGAAAACATTGCAGGAAAAACAAGCATCTATATGTCTATATGGACTCTTGGGTCACTATGGAATTCTCTGGGTAGCTCTTTATTAATAACTGTTTCTATTTTGAAAATATATTTCCCCTTTTCATCTGTAATTCATGTTGTAATTTATAGGTTTTGTGAATGTTGCAATTTGTATGTTTTCTGGTCTCTCAGGATGTGGTTGAGATGTAGTTTGTCAGTGTTTAGTTCACTAAAAAGACATTTTTTCCTCCATCCTTCTTTCTGTTCTGCACCTCTGGTCGTCTTTTTTTCACTTCTTTTACACGCAAGCAGGAACAAACCTTTTCTGTATCTTGTAACCATGCACACAATTGCAGTGTGTAGGAATGCTGAGGTTAAATGACTCATCTGGAATTTACAAATTGTGTATGCTTTAAGGAAGTCTCCCTAGATCTTGCAAGTTTGCAGGAAGATGTAACATGACTTAAGGTGGTTTAAGAGTAAAGATGCAAGGAAAATAAGACCAGCAACACTGAAAGGAAAAGAAACCAACAGAGACAAGAGGGAAGGGGGGGCGGGGGAAAAGGAAGGGAAGGGGAAAGTCAAGGAATATAGCAAGGACTCATGGACAAAACCAAAGGGGAAGAGCTGAGGGAGGGAGGGAAGGAGGGAGGAGGCAAAGGAAAGTGGTGGGGGATAGTGTAATAACAGTCCACCAATTAAAGGGGATATAAATAAATAAAAAAGAGTAAGGTAATTTTGAGAAAGGCCGTTGGTTGTGTCATACATGGAGAGAGAGTGAAGGAGCAAGTTGTAATATTAAATAAGGGATCAAAGTAATTTTTATTGAAATTTGAGAAAACACTTAAGGGAGGTGAGGGAGTGAACCCTGAAGGTCACCCAAGGGAAGAGTGATGCATACAGAGGAAGCAGCGAGGACAAAGCCTAACGTGGGACTCTATCTGGCAAATTTAAAGAAGAGCAAGGTAGCTCCTTCCCTGAGTGAAGATTGTGGTCGCCTTGAGCTGAGCAGGAGAGAGTCGGGGGAGGGAAACAGCTTATGTAGGGTTTTGTAAACCATTGCAAAGACTTGAATTTCTCTTTTGAGTGAAACAGGGAGCCATTAGAAGGTGAGATAGTATGATATAATATTTTAAAAGAATCATTCTGGCTCTTATGTAAAAGTAGACTTCGCAGGTAGGGGCCGATGTGGAAATTGGAGATCAATTCTGCGGCTGCTTCAGTAATCTAGGCGAGGATGGTGAGAAGTTGTTGGATTGAGTTTAAATATATTTTAAAGGTGGAGCCCGTGGGATAGGTGCCTAGATAGAGTAAATGTGGGTGTGAGAGAAAGACATTAAGAACAGTTTCAAGCTTTTTCACCTGAGTATCCAGGATGGGTTGTCTTCAGGTAGAGCAGTTTTTAGAAGAAGGTAAAGATTTCTGTTTTGTAAATGTTGAGTGAGAGATATTCACTGTCATCTCACTGGAAGTGTCAGAAAGGGAGCTGAATACACAAGCCTAAAATCCTAGAGAGAGTTCTGGATTGGAGGTGCACATCTGGGAGGTGGTGTATGCAATGAAGTAGTCAGCCAATTTCCACCTGATTTTTAATGGGGAAAAAAAGATGTTAAGTAGATAGAGCAAGAAGTGAAAGAGTACAAGAGAAAATTTTTGTATTTATGGAGGAATCAAGAAAAGTTGGTTCTTGAAAAGAGAGAGGAGGGGAAAGCATTTTACAGATAAATAGCTAACAGAAATTGAGAGTACATGTATTTGATTGGAATTAAAACAGTGGGAGGAAAGCTTAGAAATGGAAAATTTAGACCAGATTATCAATAGCCCGAAAGTAAAGTTTGGAGTTCATCATACCAGTCTGTGTTTTCTAAACACCAGCACACAGAGATTGCCAGTGTTGAAATGAAAGAAAGGAAAGAAAATCTCCCACATTCACAACCCAAGTCCCCTCTTGTGGCTATAGTGAGAGAGCAAAGTATGAACTTCTGCAGTGGATTCTTGTCAGGACAGGCATTTAGAAAGTTTCTTTTCCTCTTTGATTATTCATTCAAAGGAGTGCAGCTGAAGCAGTAACCAAAGGAGGCATTATGCATTCAGAAAAATCTCAAGAAAGAGTATTGCGACTAACTGTTTCTAGCTGTTAGACCAGGCTATACAGACAAGGGTGGAGAGATTTAACCAGTCAGTCAGCATGAAACTTGGAGATAAAGTACTTCTCCCAGAATATGAAGGCACCAAAGTAATTCTAGATGACAAAGATTATTTCTTGCTTAGAGATGGTGAATTCTTGGAAAGTGTGTAGACTGAAATAAGTCATGATTGAAATGGCATCATATGAAGCTGCCCATTTGACTGAAGTTCTGAAATCTTTCATCATGTAAATAATTATTGTGTGTCTTTTATAATAAACTCATGATATCTAAACTAATACAAAGGAATAAAAATAGATTATATTTTTCATAATGCTAGGTTTATTCAACATGAAAGAATACTTTTATTCTGAAGTTGTTTTCTCTCCCATTTTAATTTTAAAATATACTTTGAGGAAAAGATAGCTATAACCTTCCTTCCTTCTTTCTTTTCTTCCTTCCTTCCTTCCTTCCTTCCTTCCTTCCTTCCTTCCTTCCTTCCTTCTTTCCTCTTCCTCCTTACCCCTTCCTTCTCTTCTTCCCCTCTTTCTTTCTTGATGTGGGAGGAATACATAGTGATAAAGAAAAGTTACATTAGACAAAGTTAAGCCGGTAAGGAAGATCTTATTTAAAACGCTATTGTAATAGGTTGAACTCAACTCTGCTGAGACAAAGAGCTGGAGAGTTTGTAAACGCTGGGGTGCAGGAAATTTCAGGAACCTGTATCTGCTAATTGGCCTTACCTGAAGGAAGAGTAATCTTTTTCCCATCTTCCTGACCAGAGGTAGTGTTAAAAGTTGGACCAAAGCACCCATCAACTTTAGGCTCCTACCATCCCACAGACCCTGTGATGATCACATTCCAAAGGAATGGCTCTCAGGTCCAGAAACACAAACCCCCTAGGGTCTGTGAAACTGGAAAATGGCTTTAAAGGAAATTTATGTACATTTCAAAGGAGCAAAGAAAGATCTTGCAGTTACAAATTTTCTAAAGCAGATTCCCTAGAAAAGGGAGATCAGGAACCTTTGGTCAGGAAGAAACCTGTTTAAAGTTTAATCAAGCCGAGAAAAAAATGTAAGTCCATCGTGGCCAATAGAATAAGGGAAGTGAATTAGAGAAGGAACAGCTCAAGAAATGGAACAGTCAGGACATGTAACCCCATGAAGAAGCCAAAGGAAGATGCAATTTCAACATGAAAGGAAGGCAGCATTAGATGCTTCTGAGAGGAAGGAGAAAAGGTCAGAGGGGTCAGAGGGACCTTGATGCTTTAGCCCAGGCTGCTGGTTTGTAGTCTTTTGGTGTGAATTTTATTATTACACTAATTATTATAGGATAATAAATACTATAATCAAGCTTATATTGAAGATAAGCATAGGATAGTCCTTTTTCTCATTAAATTTAACTATTATTTTATATTCAAACTCACATTCCTCTGTGTGGTAGTAATATTACTATTTTATAGAAATAAAAAGTGAGATTGGGGCTGATGAGAGGTACCTGCTGATGTATGAATCAAATCTCTCATCCAATTATGAAAATATTTTGAAATATTATGAAAACACCAGGCATTGTATTTCATTGATATATTTCATTGAAATATTATGAAAAACACCCAGGCATTATATTCCATTGATATCCAGTATTTCTGGCACATTCAGATGTGATAGTTAGGTGAGGTGTACTTAGTAATATTGCTCATTGTAGGTTGATGCTTTGAGATTTCCCAGGCATTTGAAATCACCATCAGTTTAGCATTGATTAATCCCTGTGGCAATCCCACAAGTAAAGAGGCCTGTCTCTGCGCTGCAAGAACATCGGGCTCGGTTCTGTGAAAGCACTTATGTCACTCAGCTGCCACTTCCTGTTTTCTCTGGGCCTTTCTCAGCAGCCTCGAGAGGCTGATGGCAAGGCTTATGTCTTGCTTATTGCCCCCTTTCCAGTGCTGGGTCCTTGTACAAGGCTTATGCTCCAAAATTATTGGTTAAATGAATGAATGAAAGTAGTGATATATCTAGTTTAAAAGTGGGAAAACCAAGGTTTAAGTTGAAAGAGATTTAAGGTTAGAACCTGAGGAGATATTTAAGCAGTCATTTCTATCTCAGAAGATCTCAATGTATCTGTTAAAAAAAAAATCATAGTTAAAGATGTCTTCCTTCCCGCCTTGAGGCAACTACTCTTCTGATTCACTTGGAAGAGTAATACCAAGCACATCCCTGGCTGGTGTGGCTCAGTGGATTCAGCACCAGCGTGTGGACCGCAAGGTCACAGGTTAGATTCCCAGTCAGGGCACATGCCTGGGTTACAGGACAGGTCATCAAATGTAACCAGCATTCGGGGCTGCATGGCAGCCACCAGCCCATACAATACATAGTGAGATTTGCCTAGGATGATGTTGTGGACATCCAGGAAAGAGACAAGCACAGTGAGCAGTCCAGCCACGGCCACTTGACTCATAAGCTGCCGGTCACTATGGTAGGGGCAGAGGGTGAGTGTGCCCTTCCCTAAATGTGTCAGGCCCTGTGCCCAGTGCACCATGAAGAGGTTGTTGGGGTCCTTGGCGTGATACTGGGCTAACTGGCGCAGCATCGCAGCCAGACGGGCATTATTGGTACCACTGCCCACCATGCCCATGGCAAAAATGGAGTTATAAGAAACTTCTGGGTCAGCATCATGGGAGAATTTGCTCAGGGTATCCAGGATGTTGAGTCGTGGATTTGACACAGAGATTAAGGCCAGTGCTAAAGGCACAGCCCGTCGGAGTGTAGGCTCCCCATATCTCAGCAGGTGGCCGAAGGTCCGCAGTGCCATCTCTGCACCGATCTCCTCCCCCATTGCAATGAGGGCAGTGCCCAGCACAGCCACTCCCTGATGTGCTCCCATGTCAGCGGGGGCGTCCTTCTTGTCCTTGTCCTTCTTTTCCTTCTTGTCTTTGTCTTCCTCCTTCTCCTTGGAGTCAAAGTGTTCGCTACAAATGTGGAGCAGCTGCTGCACCTTCAGTACATTCCCAGAGCCTGCATAAGCACAAACATCCACCAGTGTGTTGGCAAAACTGCGGAATGGCTCTGACACAACCTCCAGCGCGGCCAGAATTGCCTCGATGGCCTCTCCCTTCCCCAGGTGATTGAGGCCCAATCCAAGAGGAAGCCAGCGGGCGTAAGTGTCCTTGAGCTCAGTCTCTGACTTCTCCATGATGGTCTGAAGGATAGTGGAAGTGACATCTCCATTGCAGGATCCCACTGCAATCGTTCCACAGGCTAGAGCAGTCGCACCTGCCGCCTCCATACTGGACTTGGAATCTCCCTTCACAGGCAGCAGCAGTGTTAGAACATCTTCGCGATTGGAGCCAGCACAAGCCAAGCCTAGTCCAAAGATGGAACCAAGTCTCATAGTGTTGCTGTTGTGGAGAATGCAGTCTGAGAGCAGGGCCAGAGCAGGGTCACACTCGTTCCGGACCCCAGAGTTCACAATGCCACAGGCCAGGGGGGCTCCTGACTTGATAGAATCCTCAGAGGAGTACAGGTACTTGTCAATCTGGGTGAGGCCACCGTCCACATCCCACAGCAGAATCATGCCAAGGGACGCTGCTGCACTCAGCATTCCATGGTCCTTGTTCTCGTAAAGCCATTTTTGGCAACTGATGTTTCTCTTGCTCTCTTTCTCCCTCCTTTCCCCTCTCTCTAAAAATAAGTAAATAAAGTCTATCAAAAAAAGAAAAAATAATACCATGAATATGTTTTCCAAGCATGTATTAAGTGCAAGACGCTGTGCTAAACATTATATATGTGTTAATCCCTTTATGACTTCATATGATACTCAAAACTCAAGAGAAGGCTATTGCTATTAGCTTAATTTACAGATCAGAAAACTGAGGAAGAGAGAGCCACATTTAATTAGCGCACATTTATCCAAACAGGTTAGAAGGTATTTTTTTCATGAGGTGGGCCCAACCCTCAGCAGGGGTACATGTCTTGATGAGCAGAGCATGGGCTGATTTCAGTCCTCACTGTGCCCAAGAGAAGGACGACTTGGAACCTGGAGGCTCTGAAGGTTAAGTTACTTACTCAGTTTTCCAGTTGAATAAAGGCTAGAATTGACAATTGAACCGAATTGAGAATTTTGGAGCAAATCTGTCTTGCTCCCAACCTGAACAATTGTACAATCTGCTCTTTGTAACTAGGCCTTTAATTGATTTTTATAAAACAGGTCAGCATTTTTTTTTTTGTAAAACGTCAGATAGTAACCATTTCAGGTTTTGGAGGCTGTACTGTTCTTGTCACAGCTTTTCAACTCTACCGTGCTGTGCAAGAGCAGCTATAGATTTCTGTAAGCAAATCAGCATGGCTGTGTTCAACACAAACATGTACACTGAAATTTGAATTTCATGAAACATATTCTTCTCTTGATTTTTTTCAGTTATCTAATAATATAAAAAAAGATTTTCTTAGCTTGTCAGAGGTCTTATGAAATAGATGAGTTGATTTAGCTTTTGGGCCATAGTTTGCTAATTCCTGATATGGAATATTCCAGAAAAATCCTGTAAATGAAGCTGTCACTTATTCCATGATTATTTTTTTCCCAACTCTGAATTCATGGAAACAAGATTGTGGAGTCTATTTCCCCCTTTCTGTGTCTGTTTTATTTTTAACATGGTTGCTGTGATTATTTTCTAGGTAGATTAAAACATGCTATTCATGCAGTTTTGGAGCAATTTCTCTTCCTTATAGTTATTTTGCAAGTACAGTAGTGACTGTGGTTTGTTCTTATACTTCTATGATTGTCTTAGCTCGAATTTTAGTTATATTTGGCAAAGTTTTTGACTGTGCGTTAATAACTTGCTTTTAATGAAGTAAAAGAAATTAGATGCAGAGGAAGTTCGAAAACTTAATGTGTCCAAGATGACTAGGAAATACAGTTCTCGTACCCTAACATCAAGTTCAATTTTCTGATCTATTCCCAGTTAACTCCTAAAAGAGTTTTGGCTTCATGGCCTTGACCAGCATCTGGGTACCAAGTTGCTGCCTGGACTCCTCAGTTCACTTTTACACCCTCACCTCCTTAAACATCTTACAATGCTGCATGTTCAAAACTATTGTTAGGAAGAATTGATCAACAAATGACCAATTCCTGCTGTAATAAAGAGAGTTACTACTTTTTAGAAATTTGTGTTTCATATCTTTTTTTCAGCTTCTTCAGGTGCTACCAAGTCTCCTCAGACTCTATGTTCTAGCCGAAGTTGTCTTTTTCTTGTTTTTGCTAGAAACCACTAATTCTGCCCCCTCCCCCTCCCTGGGCTTTCTTATACTTCCTCCAAAAGGTCCTCTTAGAACCCTAGATCTGGTTAGTTCCCAGTTTGAGGTGATTCTATTGTAATTTCCTTCCATTCTACTCACATTTGTAATTATTTGTTCAAGATTTATCTCTCCAACTAACGTCTGGGCTTCATGAAGACTTGCATAACATTATAACTTTAGTACCTATTTAACTGCCTCATATTTAAACAGACAAACCTTAGCAGAAGTGAGAGGCATTTAGTTTCCGCTTCTGATACAGATCTATGTGTAATCATATCTATTTTCATCTCACTCTTAAGTCTGTGGTTTGCAGCACGGTATCTGCTTGTGGGACTGAAGTCTATGTGTTTGACCTTTCCTTAATTTGTTTATAAAGTTATGTGAACAATGAAATTATTTTCTTTCATGACTGAAGTCCTTCATGCTCTGATAATGGCTCTGGAAATCAAAACAAAGGAACTGGGAAGGTCTGAATTTGTATACAGTTAACCGAGCCAAGTTTGAGTCCTGTTATCCAGGGCTGGGTTTCATACATTTACAGCAAGTCCGGGATGCATGAAATTCTCTGCTTTTCCTAACCTATGTTCTATCATGCTTAGCTTAAATATGATAAAGGTTTGGTCTGTAGGTCTTTAGAAAGTATGTATTTTTGTCTCAGTTTTATTGTAGGCAAATCTTTGGAATCAGTTGAGATAATAATATTGTCATACTAAATGTATATTGCATGTGGACATGCATAGTGTTTTGCCAGTGTTCCTAACAGGGACTTTTATGGAGGGGAATCAAGAATTTTACCTGCCTATCATGCACAGCCCATCTACTTTATATTACTGAGTATTTATATATACTCAGCATGATTTTCCAAATTTCCTACTTATGAAACATTCATAGAAAAAAAACTAACCAGTAAACTTTTGAGCAGATTCCTATCTTCTAGTTGCATATCCTTATTTCCGTACACAGGATTTGAATTCTAAGAAAGGAAGCCAAATGTTCATAGAAGACTTTTGAAAGTTGCAAAGCAGAGCCAACTGGTGAGCAGTTTCCGTGAGTGCCACTGCTAGAGCCCCAGGCAGGAGAGGTCTGGTGGGGAAGGTCGGACTCATTCCACACCCAAACAGTCACGAATTGGGTGTCTCTTGTATGAGACCTTATCTTTGAAGGTGGGATCATGGATTTGTACATTTGACAACGTTTCTTCCATAGGCTATCACAGTTTGTATGTTATTTCTTTGAATAGGAATATTATTCTCCTCCTGTTAATATTCCTGTTTGCCTAGATTTTAGAACAGAACATAATCAAACCTGTGGAGAGTTGCATGAGTTTTTTTTGTGAATGTTTAGAATTCTGTGTAGAAAGATGTGCTTTTGAGTGTTCTTGTAAGTAGGTTGATGCGTGTTTGAGTTGTTTTCGTTGGTTTTAAGAGAACTTACATATTTGCCTGGAAAAATTTCTATGAAGCATTCATTAAAGTGTTTATTCTCTCTCTCTTTCACACACATACCCACATACCCACACACACACACACACACGCATACACACACACACACACACACACACCTTTCTATATACAAGACACTTATTTAGATGTTTAGGATACATTAGTAACCAAATGTTGCGCTTACATTTTCATAATCTCCTCTACATTTAGAAGTTGCTAGGTGTGTACATGCCTTTTTATTTATTTTAAATTAACTTTTTATGGGAAACATCATGTAATAACATCTTTGAGTGCCTTAAGAATGGATTAATAGTAGATGGCAGAGCTATGTGAAGATCGAGTGTATGAAGTTTTTGTAGTTATTTTTTTATGAAGTACTTAAGTACAACTTTCTTATTCATGAACAGATTTTTAATTTATTTTTAAGTATACTTTATTGATTATGCTATTACAGTTTTCCCATTTTTTTCTCCCCTTTATCCTCTTCTGCCCTGCACCCCTCTCCCTCCAGCCTTTCCTTCCCCCCTTTGTTCATGTCCATGGGTTATACATGTAAGTTCTTTGGCTTCTGCATTCCCTACACTATTCTTAACCTCCCCCTGTGTATTTTGTACCTACCAATTATGCTTCTTATTCCCTGTACCTTTTCCCCTGTTCTTCCCCCCTCCCCCACACTGATAACCGTCCATGTGATTTCCATTTCTGTGATTCTGCTCCTGTTCTAGTTGCTTAGTTTGTTTTTGTTTTTTAGGTTCAGTTGTTGATAGTTGTAAGTCCTGTTGTCATTTTACTGTTTGTAGTTTTGATCTCTTTTTAGATAAGTCCTTTTAACATTTTATATAACAAGGACTTGATGATGATGAACTCCTTCAACTTGACCTTATCTGGGAAGCACTTTATCTGCCCTTCCATTCTAAATGATAGTTTTGCTGGATAGAGTAATCTTGGATGTAGGTCCTTGCTTTTCATGACTTTGAATACTTCTTTCCAGCCCCTTCTTGCCTGTACAGTTTCTTTTGAGAAATCAGCTGAAAGTCTTATGGGAACTCCTTTGTAGGTAACTCTCTCCTTTTGTCTTGCTGCTTTTAAGATTCTCTCATCTTTAATCTGGGGTAATTTTAACTATGATGTGTCTTGGTGTAGTCCTCTCTGGGTCTAACTTCTTTGGGACCCTCTGAGGTCCTGAAGACTTTCCTTGACTTGCATGTCTATTTCCTTTGCCAGATTGTGGAAGTTTTCTTTCATTAATTTTTCAAATAAGTTTTAAATTTCTTGCTCTTCCTCTTCTTCTTTTGGCACCCCTATGACTTGGATGTTGGAATGTTTAAAGTTGCCCCAGAGGTTCCTAAGCCTCTCCTCATCTTTTTGAATACTTGTTTCTTCATTCTGTTCCAGTTGAATGTTTATTTCTTCCTTCTGTTCCATATCATTGATTTGAGTCCCAGTTTCTTTCCCTTTATTGTTGGTTCCCTGTATATTTTGCTTTATTTCACTTTGTATAGCCTTCACTTCTTCCTTTATTTTACGACCATACTCAATCATATCTGTGAGCATCCTGATTACCGTTGTTTTGAACTCTACATCAGATAGGGTGACTATCTCCTTGTTGCTTAGTTCTTTTACAGTTTCAGTCTGTCCTCCATTTGGGCCATATTTCTTTGTCTCAGCGCACCTGTTATGTTGTGAGGAGCAGAGCCTTAGGTATTCGTCAGCAGGGAGCAGCCCACATAGCTGCATTGTGACACTGTATGTGGGGGGAGGGTCAAAGAGGGAACCATGCTGCTTACTTGGCTCTAGCCCTGCTTTCAAAAGACTGGCAGTTTCTTCTGCCACCACAACCCCCACAGATTTTTACACTCAGAGGTTCTGAGGCTTTATTTTGTGCATGTTGGAACCCTGGGTTGCACAGTCTATGTTGTTCCCCAGTTATTCCTCCTGGTTTATCCACATATGACTGTAGGACCACCCTGTCTGCCAGCTGCCGCCTCGCCCTGCCCCATCCTCTGCCAGCCGCTGCCTTGCTGCATGTCCTGTCGGCCCGGCTGCCTGTCTCTGCCCCTCCTACCAGCCTGGATGAATGTTTCTTCTTTAACTCCTTAGTTGTCGGACATCCATACAGTTTGATTTTCTGGCAGTTCGGGTTGGTTTTTGCTTTAAAATTGGTTGTTTCCTTCTTTTGATTGCCCGAGGAGGCGAAGCATATCTACCTATGCCTCCATCTTGGCCAGGACTCCCTGTTGCTTTCTGAAAGATAAATGTAATGAAATGATCAAGGATTCTAAGTGATGCTGTTGTAGTGTCTGTTTTGGTTAAGTTGCAACATAACAGCCGCTGCCTAAGTAACTTCCATGGTTATTCCCTCTTCCGTCCGGAAAAAAAAAAAATTAGAAAACAAATGATAGCTTTAATTGTTCATGCATACTTAATTCTTAATATTTTCCTGAAAATTTCTGAAATTAATGCTTTTGGTCTATGCGGTTCTGAGAATTATTTATTTATTTTACATTTTATTTTTCAATTACAGTTTATATTCAATATTATTTTGTATTAGTTTAAGGTAAACAGCTTAGTGGTTAGACAGTTATATATACTTTACAAAGTGATTCCCCTGATATTTCAAGTACCTACCTAGCAATACACAGAGTTATTACAATATTGTTGACTATATTCCCTGTGCCGTCCTTTATATCCCCGTGACTGTTTTCTAACTGCCAATTTGTATTTCTTAACCCCTTCCCATTTTTTACCTAGCCCCCCTGAAAATTGTTTGAAAAGTTAAATGGATTTATTAAAGGTGAAAGTTGGCTAATAATAAATATCTTTGAAAATTAATTTGTTATGGGATAGTTTCCAAGCGACTATCTGGTAATCTCTTTTTCTTTGTTTTTCATTGTGATGCTAACAGATGATATGGAAATGACACATTTCAAGATTTTTGAGATTAACAAAACCAACTATATTTTGCAGCACTCCCTTGCTAATCCTTTCGAAAACTACCATTTCTTCTTTTTTTTTCAGTTACTTACCAATAGCTGTTTACATAAAGAATATTATCATTAAATGTATAAAGCAAATAGCATTCCACCCCCAAGTAACCTGGGAAAACTCCGCCTAGAAGTAATCATGCTTGTAACCAAAATAACCCTTTCCCAGAGACAAGAGATAGGGAGCACAAGGACCATTCCTGTAACCCCGAATAGTGATTTTTCTCTATATTCCTTTAAAGCATACTTTAAAACAATCTCTAGCATCTTGAAATATTTTATATTTATTATCATTTGCTTTATAATATCATGAAATATAAAGGAATTTATACAATTTAAAGAATTTAAAGGAATATAATAGAAATCTTGTTTGACATTATTAGTCTTCCTGTATTATTTTCTGGTGTTTCCTAAAAAAAAAACAAAAACTGTGTGCGTGTGTGTGTGTGTGTGTGTGTGTGTGTGTATGTATGTATGTATAAAGCTTGTCGATGTACTAGTTGAGAATTTTTTAGTTCATTTCAGTCAAACTGACGACATTGCTAGGAAGCAAAATCTCAGTGGATTGAGAAAATGCTCCAGAGAATGGCAGTTTTTGCAGCTTATTTAAACATTAGAGTCAAAGTGGAGACCTAAATAAAGTTATATGAAATCCATTGTTGGTAGATTAAAAGGGCGGGAGAAAGCAAAGCAGGGGAATCTCTGGGATTGGATGAAGCATAAAACAGAGAGACACAGGATAGTTAACAATTAACATTCACAGCACAGAGGCGAGTGCAGGGAACAAGGAATAGGGCAGTGAGGGGTTGTGGTAGGGTGTCCCCTGAGGGGTCTGGAAAAGGAGATCACTCTGACATTTTAAAGGGATGTCGTCTTGGATGCAAAAGGACAATGGACAGGCTCCCTTATGGTAAAGATTGGTCTGTGTCAAGGAAGATACTGGCCTAGGCTGTGATTACCCACGTGACTCGCTTTTAGTTAGAAAGTTTTATGTTCAGACCATCCTGTATGGTATTTCTCAGTCTGTGAGTTTGTAAGGCCAGCATGCAGGCTTCCCCTGAGCTTGTCAGGTTTAGTCTGTGGCCCCTTTTCCCCCCGCAGGGACTTGCCGCTTAGCTTTGCTGACTGCCTTCTTTTTCTTTTCTTCCTACTCCAGTCTAATGGGATTGCAGCCATCATTGCACTTTTGGTGTTACTGCTGCTCTTGGGTATCGGTTTGATGTGGTGGTTTTGGCCCCTTTGCTGCAAAGTGGTAAGTAAGAAGATTTTCAACCCTACTCTTTTTTTCTTTTTAAACCAGTGAGGTGTACATAAAGCCTGAAATATGGATCCGTGCTGCATTGGTCAACAACTGCCAAGTTTCAATGAGCAAATTGAACTTCAATAGCTTTTATCACTATAATAAAGTCTAGAAAACATGCATGTCAATAAATATTTATTATAACACGTCATCCAAAAATATTTCAAAATCAGGCTGGGAGGAAGAAGGAGAGAGGAAGGTAGCAGGGAAGTCATAGGGATAAAGGGTTTTCCACTCAACTACAAAAGAATTTTGAGTAAATCGAATGATATTTTTTACTGGATTATTCAAAGAAGTTGATAATCTGTCCAATGTCATTTTAATTGCTTATTGGATCTTTCATTATGATTTTGAAAGATCTACTATTTCAGAACCTTCTGTGTTTGCCCCTCAGAAAAACATTTTACATATAAGTCATGTGCAAAAGTCAGGGTATCGGTCAAAACAGTCACTTTTGAAGTTATGACAGTTGGTTTTAGTTTATATCATTTTTCACATTTGAGTAAAACCTCTGAAAGAAAGTGGGTGTATATTAGTTTTCTGTTGCTACTGTAACAAATTGCCACACATCTGGTAACGTAGCTTAAAGCAATGAGGATTTATTCTCTAACTATGATGCAATCACTGGTCCAGCATGGGTCTCACTGGGCTAAAGTGGGCTAAGAGGTAGCGGCATGGATGCATTCCTCTCTTAGTGCTCTGGAGGAGAATCTGTCCCCTTGCCTTTTCCCCCATTTAGAGCCCACCCACATTCCTTGCCTCCAGGGCGCCTTCCTGGATCTTCAAAGCCAGAAAGAGGCATCTCCTATACCATTCTGTAGTCACATCTCCCTCTGACTCTGAACTCAGCTGGGAAAGGACCTCCAAAGTTAAGGAACCATGTGATTGGGTTGGATACTTGGATAATCCAGGATAATCTCCCATCTCAAGGTCTTTAACCTTAATCACATTGCAAAGTTCCTTTTGCTGTATAAGGCAATTTAGTCACAGTTCCAGGGAATTAGACTGTGGACATCTTTATGGAGCTGTAATTCTGCTTACCACAGGGTGGAATGTTGAGTAATAAATAGCAGCAAGATTTCAAGCAATCCAATTTGGATTCTTCAGGTTTCAAAGAAAAAAATTATCCTGAAGAAGCATTTTTTCAAAGCATGCCTAATAGTTATTTTGATACTACTCCTTTTATTATCAACACCTTATATAGAACTTTGTGTTCTGTGGACCACAGAATTGTTTTACATAATATCATTAGACTGCCTTTTGCCCACTCACCTTTGCGGACTGATTTCAGCTTTCTTGCAACATCAGGCAGTGCTTGTACTGAAGTCTGTTTTCATGAGGCAACTTTACAATCTTTTATCTCAGCGCAGGAGGCACGGAATTAAACAACAGCAGAGACAAGAGGCATCCTGTCTCTTTGCTGAACTAATCAGTTTCCTGCCATCGCAATTTATGCACAAACGGCTTCCTGTTGTAATCTCGATTTTCCTAGCTATGACTACTTTAGCATGGCTAGGATTTTTGAGTCTTAAATTAAAAAACTGTGCCCTAAAGTGATTCGTACTGCTTATTTTTTGTACTTTAAACTTTGCATTGGTAGATTTCCTTCCTTTATTACTCTGCAGTTTCATGTATTATTGACCAGTGGGCTCAAAAGTGTCAAAGTACATGATGTTTTTAAAGACACTTGGAAAAACTGAAACAGGCTTCTTTGGGAGGTTGCTAGATGTGCTCAGATGAGGTCTTGACTATCGTTGTAGATATTATAGAGAGGATTCAGTCATTAGGTTGTGAGAAAGATCCATTCTAACCCTGGGACTCTGAAGATTGCAAATCACAGAGTGTTTTTCTTTGTGCCAGGGCCTGCTATGCCTTGGAGGTGTGTTTTCAGGATGTGAGGGCTTCCAGTCCTCAGAAACATCGTGAATACTTGCTAATGTCTAGAGCTTATTTAATGGAGAAAACCACTGTTACTTTACATTTAGAAATACAGATTTAGAGGGCAGCTAGCCCTGTGTATGAGCTGATACTTAGATCTAGGTATAAATGAATCACAGCAAGTATTTCCTAAAGTAGGTTTAAAAGCAGAGGGAAGGTAAAGGCAAAATTCTGCCTTCAGCCCTTAGCAATCTACCATGTGCCGGTATTGTGCTAGGAACTAGGGGATACAAAAATGATTATAATATGATATGGAAGCTCACATTTTAATATGAAAACACAGCGCTGTGGGCAAAATGTAAACGGAGGGTCCTGAGGGTCCCAAGAGTGACACATGTAAAGAACAGTAAGAACACAGTAAGGAGGAGGGATTTGCTAGTGTTAAGGACTGTTTCAGAGAAACCTACACTACTGACTCCCAACTGAGTTTTGATTAATGAATACATTGTTGGCAGGGGACGAGGGGCATTTCCAATGGAGTGTGTGCAGAATTATGAGCTCTCCCGGCATGCTTTGGGAAGGCCTAGACCTCGGCCTAGGGCGCCACTGACAGGGAGCTTGAAAGGTGGTTTGGGATCCGGGCGTGAAGCCCAGCAGGGAAAGCCTCTGGTGTCTTTCTCAGTGAGTTTGAACTCGGCCCAGGGAAGGTGAGAAGCCACAGGAGAGATTAGATCTGTATAATCCTCTGAAATAAGCTTCGCTTACTTCTTGGTTAGAGGTCTGGTCCTGGAAGGGATTAAGTCTGTATCCAACTCAGTTCCAGCAACAATTGAAATGGAAAGCCAGTGACAGAAAGTGCACCTTACCTACGGCTGGAGCTAAGTATCTCCGAGGAAGCGTGGAGAGTGGGTGTATAACATAGGGGCTAAGTGAGCTGGAGAAAAATAAAGAGATGATCAGAGAAGAGGCAAAGGAGACTTAACTGTGGAAAAAAACAAAAAGATCTTGACTGTATCCGGTTTTGTAGTACAGTTTGAGGAATATTTTGTATCTTTTAGAGACTATACATGTGCAATGCTGGAATTAGAAAGTGCTTAGTTAAATAATTCTTAGCATTAACTTATTAGGGATCAATTTGACTATCTGTTGTTAGCAGTAATACTACTTTTTAATGGGAAAAGATATACATTTATTTCAGCTTGGTGCTGTACAGATTTCTTTTTGTTTTAGGGTGTTTTAAGTATTGGTGGTAGCGATTTAAAACTAACCTTTCCACTGAAACATGACTAAACACTCTGAAATGTCTGCCTTCTGGCACATTTAAATTATGTCTATGATATGCCTTTTTGGGAGTCCTATGTTTAGGACCTCTTGCCAAGATAGAAAGCCTGGGAAAAAGCCCTGACCAGAGGCCTCAATATTTGTCACATATTCTTTGTTCAATCATTTCATATTTTATGAAAATATCTGATGAAATGATTCATTGTTTAGAGATTAAAATTTCATGGGTATATAATAATGACTCAAATATGATAGTACCAGTTAGATCTTAGACAGTGATTCTCTCTCTCTTTTTTTTTTTTTTTTTTAGTCCCTGAAGGCTTAGAGCAGTGCCTATCATATTTCCAGTGGTGGCTCTTTTCTAGAGGGGAGTCATGGAGCTGAGGGGAGGTATCCCCAGAGATCAGTGCCATTTGGAAAGCCCTGTGTGATAGATTGACTAATGATCCCTAAAGTTATCCAGGGCTTAATTCCTGGAAACTGACTGTTATCTCATGGGTAAAGGGGCTTTGCAGATGTGATTAAATTAAGGATTTTTTTTTAAAAGATCTTTGCCTGTTTTTATTTTTCTTTAATTTATATTCTTTTAAAAAACTTTGTTGTATTTTTTCCATTACCATTTAGCCCCCTTACACCCCCTTGTCCCTGCAGTCATCATCCAGTTGTCCACGTCCATGAGTCCTTTTTCTTTTTTGCTAAATCCTTCCACTCCCTAACGACTCCCCCGACCACTAGCTTTATCTGCTCTCCATCTCTGAATCTGTCTTTGTTTTGCCTGTTAGTTCAGTTTGTCCATTAGATTCCACATATGAGTGAAATCGTATGGTATTTTTCTTTCTCTGACTGGCCTATTTCACTTAGCATAATGTTCTCCAGGTCTACCCATACTGTTGCAAAGGGTAAAATTCTCCTCTTTTTTAATGGCCCAGTAGAATTCCATTGTGTAAATGTCCCATAGTTGTGTTATCCACTCATCTACTGATAGATACTTGGGTTGCTTCTTTATCTTGGTGATTGTAAATAACTCTGCAATGAACATAAGGGTGCTTATGTTCTTTCGATTAGTGTTTTGGGTTCCTTCTGATACATTCCCAGGAGTGGGATCACTGGGTCAAAGGTAGATCCATTTTTAATTGTCTGAGGTATCTCCATACTGCTTTCCACAGTGTTTTTAACAGTCTGCATTCCCACCAACAGTGCAAAGGGGTTCCCTTGTCTCCATGTCTTTGACAACACTCGTTGTTTGTTCATTTATTGGTTATAGCCATTTGGGCGGGTGTGAGGTGAGATCTCATGTGGTTTTAATTTTCATTTCTCTGATGATTAGATTAGTGACATTGAGCATTTTTTCATATGTCTGTTGGCCCTCTGTATGTCCTCCTTGCAGAAATATGTATTCAAGTCCTTTGCCCATTTTTGAATTGGATTGTTTGGTTTTTTGGTGTTGAGTTTTATAAGTTCTTCATAAAATTTGGATATTGAGTCCTTATTAGATGTATTGGTGAATATGTTCTCCCATTTGGTGAGTTGTCTTTTTATTTTGTTGATGATTTTCTTTGCTGTGCAAAAAAAACTTTTTAGTTTGACGTAGTCCCGTTTGTTTATTTTTTTCTTTTGTTTCCCTTGCCTGGGGAGAGATATCTGATAAAAAATTTCTACAAGCAATGTCCAAGATTTTGCTGCCTATGTTTTCTTCAGGGATTTTTATGGTTTCTGGTCTAAGATTTAAGTCTTTGATCCATTTTAAATTTATTCTTGTGTGTGGTGTCAGAAGGTGGTCTAGTTTCATTTTT